CAGTCCAAATTGAACTGGTATTCTGAGACTGCAGTTATATAAATGAATATAGTTACATAAGGGCCTGGACTGTCAGCAGCCTCAGCACTTTCTCCTTGGCCTCACCAGTTTGCAGGTTATCAGCGAAGAGATCTGGCTGCAAATGAGCCCAGCCAAGGAGTTTCAGCTGGGTCACCCTCTGTCTGCACAGTGGTAGCGGTGCCTGGGACAGGTTGTTTTCTCTGCTGGACAAACATCTGCTTTTGAAACATCTGGGCTGGAACTGTCCCTATCCAGTCCACTGGGAAGTGTTCACAGTGACTGCTCTTAACCGCTGATGTGCCGCTGTACGTTGTTGTTTGAGGCTTTGAATAAAGTCCTCTACAGTCAGTGTAAGAACAGCCTTAAAAATCCTTTGCAGTGATTGGTAAGTAGCTGACAGTGCAGCTGGCAGTGAATTTCTTAATTTCTTTTTAAATTAGAATCTCAGTAGTTTGGATCTCCTTTCTATAACTTTTTGTTGTTGTTGATGGTAATTTTATGTGCTAATGGGACTGGCTTGTTCTTATGATGTACAAATAGCCATTACAAGAAGACTGTTCTAAATTTGACTGTAATGCTAGAGTCTCACAGTATGCATTCACCTCTGATCTATATCCTTTCGCTTACTAATGGAGATTGCATTTGGAATACTACACCAATCGATTCATGATTTAACATGGAAAAAAAGAATGTTCCTGGCTTGAAGTATTGTGCATGACAGCTAGTTGCACAGAACGTTAGAGGTATAATAGTTTCTTCTAGAATAAGTTACTAAAGTTCAGTCTAAATATAGTGAGATTCAGATCATGGAGTCATTATGGTTGGAAAAGATATTTAAGATCATCAAGTCTAACCGTAACCCTATCACCACCAAGCCTGCTGCACCATGTCCCTAAGTGCCTCATCTAATAGTTCTGAAGAAGAAAAACTTGTTTTGGGTGTTTCACAGAATTGCATGGTACTTGCTGATTCTCAAATATAAAGAATTTTCTCTTGAGTTCCTTTTACCCTGTGTAAGTAGGGGAGGATGGAGGTAACTTTCATCCTTTTATTTCTAAAGAGAGATAAGCTACAATATGAATTCATGTTGGCCCTCCTCACTGGGGGACATGTTTTGAAGCAGAATACTCATCAAATTCTTGACTCTTCTTGACTGCAGTTAAAATTTTCATTCACTGATGGCCTTGTTGCACCCATTCCCTGCTGCCTGCACCCCACACACTTTTTACTTCTGAGGCGACATTGCTGGCTGATTCCTTAGCAGGTTTGCTAGGTGTCTGCCCCGAAAACTTACCCTGCAATATCTAGGTCATACTGGATTGTGCATTGAATTCCACTGCTTGCAAGAAAACAGCGTCTGGATGGTGTTGGATTTCGTTTCACACACCAGATGGTTAAACCAGACTTTATGTCAGCCTGTAGAGCTTGGGAGTACTTGACCATAAAAGTTTCCTATCCGTATTCCTATTCCTATCCTATCCCTTATTGCTGATCACAGCAAACTCCTCTTTTTAGAATTCTAAGCACCTCCGGAAAGAAGAATGAGGATACTCTAAGATGCCATGTATAAGCTTACGAGCTCCAGTGAAAATAACAGTTCTCAAGAACAAATGATAATTCAACTTTTGCGTGGCCAGCCTACAGAGCAGCCTGTATCTCCCTCAAATGAGTGATCCCTAAGTTTAAAGGGCAGGACTTTGGGGGTGGCTCATTCTCTGCATTGCTGAGATTCATATAGTTAGTACTGTGGGGTTTTGTTTTGTGCTATATCCTTAGGGGTTAGTGTTTTCAAATATTTCTCGTGACATCAGGGCTAGTAATCCATAGTTTAAAAAATAGCGTATATTCACATTTATCGCTTCACCACCTGAGGATTCACAGCATTTCTGTTTGACTGAAATATACAAGATCAGTGGTGCTGCCTGGTAGGTGCTACCAGGACCTGGAGATCATGAATACTTTGGAGCAAAGGGTGCTCTATCTCGAGAGTTTTGGTTGAGTGCATATGTTATAGACATAAGCATATATTGAACAGGTGTCCCCACGAAGCTAAAAGTCAGTGAATAGCTGACTGGAAAAAAGTCAACTTGCTTAACCTCTTAAGTTTGATACTTTTTGTTTGTAATTGTTATTATTTGTTTGTTACAAGATCTTTGTTTAAGATCCATATGGAGGCATTTGATAGGGTGGCCCTGAGCTTAAGGGACTGCAAGCAGCAGATGGTGAGCATTCAGTTGGGGCATACCCATAGCCCTGCAGTCGTGAATAAAATATCTCATATTGGTACTGCAGTGTCATTTGTCCTTTGAGATGAAGTTTTTTGATGAAAATTTCTTATTTTCATGATTTCTAAGATGGCTTTAATAATACCAACAAAAATTAAAGAGCATCTCCTTAATCTGCAGATGGTTTCAAACAATGACTGGGAATTAGCAGGGCTGTCAGCTGTTTCACTGCTGAGCATTCTCTCACAAATAGCAAGCTAACATGCGGATTTTGAAATCTCTAATATCCTTTGTCCATATAAATCCCGATAATGGAGAGCACAAAGATTCATGCACTTAAGGCCTGCAGCAAGTTTTATGTAGCACTGATAAACTTTGCAGTTAGTTTGGTTCTCTCCTTTATTTGTCCTCTTGCTCAACACAGTAAATTCACTACTAATTTCTTGTGCTTTTTTCCTCTCCTTCCAGACGTGTGGTGTCACACTTTGAAAACAGCCCAGATCTGTGGCCCTCTTCCTCCCAGCCATCTCTGGGGGGTGCTTGTTGCAGAGCTCCCTACCCAGTGATACTGGAACAGCCAAAAGAGAGGTGCAGACCCAGGAGGACACCGAGGCGGTCAGAGTTGGGAGGGCAGGAGCTGGCAAGGCTGCTGCTGCCTTAGAGAAAATCCCCTGCACTGCAGTTTTCCAAGAGCAGCAGTGAGCAGAGCTGCTGCCCTGCACCTGCAGCAAACCTGTTTTTCCAGTTGGGCCCATGGTACCTGAACAACCGCACCTAGTTGTGCTCCACAGTGTGGGGCCAGGGCTGTCACTGTCCCACGCCAAGGCCCTTGCTCACAGCCCCAGCTCTAAGCACATCAGCACGTGTGATGAGCACAGGGCAAGCGCAAAACCTGCATGCTGCCTTTCGAGCTAGAGCCAGGTCAGGGGTGTGCGTGTGCTGTGGGGCTGCCAGCACTTCCTCTGAGACATGTCACGTGAATGATTTCCAAACGTACAAAACCAGGAAAGGTACTCGCTGAGAGCTCCCTCTCTAGATTTCTGTATATCTACCTCCTGATCCTTATTACACATTGCAAGAGTAAATTTTATACCTTTGGCACATCTCACAGGTGTTTCTTCGGCAGCACGGTATTTAACATTAAGGGAGTAAAAGTCTAAGAAAATTTAAATTAATTAAACTAAGCGAGTGAAACAGTTTAATAAATTTAATTTAAATTAATCCTGTGGCATGAGCGGGGAGAGTGCTCTTTAATATTCTCAAGTTTCACATTATCAAATTCACCCTTGCTAGTATTTCATTCTAAAGCCCCTGGCACCAGGACAGGCTGGTGATGACCTGCTGGAGAGCAGCTCTGCAGAGCAGGACCTGGGCATCCTGGTGGACACCTAGCTGACCACAAGCCAGCAAAGTGACCTGTGTCCAAGCCCAGTGGTATCCTGGGGTGCATCAGGAAGAGCAGGTCAAGGGAGATAATCCCTCCCACACAGTAGCCCTGGTGAGGCCACATCTGGAGCACTGTGTCCTTTGCTGGGCTCCTCGCTACAAGAGGGATGTGAAGCTACTGGAACGAGTCCAGCAAAAGGCTGCTAAGGTGCTCGGGGACCGGAGCATCTGTCCTATGAGGAGAGGCTGAGAGCTGTGCCCGCTCCACCCGGAGGAGACTGATGCACATAAGTATCTGAAGGTTTAAGGGAGGTGGGGCCAGGCTTCTCAGTGGTGCCGAGTGATAGGATGAGAGGCAAAGGGCACAAACTGAAACAGGAAACTGTGTCTGAATATCAGGAAAAACTTACTGTGAGGGTGACTGAACAGTGTAACAGGTTGTCCAGAAAGGTGGTGGAGTCTCCTCCTTCAGAGATACTCAGAAGTTTTCTGGACAGGGTCTTGGGCATTGTGTTCTAGGTGTCCCTGCTTGAGCAGGTGGTTTGGACTAGGTAATCTGCAAAGGTTACTTCCAGCCTCAACCATTGTTGTTGTGATCTGTGGTAGTAATCTAGGACTTAGCAAGTCTAGAATTTCTCCCTCACTTCATTTTTGAAAGAAAACTCACAAGCATTTTTACTCAACTTTTTTTTTTTTTTTTGTTAAAGACTCTATAAGCATGAACTCCTAGAAGCTGAAGAACAAGAAGTCATTTAGTCATTAAATAAGAATCCCAGGACTTTACTAAAGGTTGCTGTGCACTCTTCTTGCTAACACAGGCCATGTCATTATTGGCACGTCCCATAACAGTGAGTGAAACAGTTGCTGCTGCAGATCTGCAGTCCCCACTCCACATGTTTGGGTAGGTTAGTTTGCACAAGCTCTGTTTTGCTTCTGTGGAAGCAAAGTGGAAGTGCTTGTCAGTAGATAGAGCACATCTTCTGGTCTACCTTTTCCAAAAAGATCCTAGATCACATACGTGGTAAGTAAAGATACTTAAGACTTGCTTCAAAATCCTGAGCTAAATTTAAAATACTAATACAAGTGCCTGCAGAACTGACCAAATACTTTCCCCTCTCGTCTTCTATCTAATGAATTGATACTTAAGCATCTTTTCTGAGCCTCACGTTTAGGAAGAGACTTTGCTATTCAGAAATCGTGGATTCATTGTATGATGGATAGTATGTAGGCCTCTTCTGGACAGCTTATGGAGAAATTGAAATCTGGGAATTTGTGTGTAACAACAAATCTAAGACTTGAAAACCTCACAGTGGGTGAAACTGGCACTATTGACCTGATCACTTGTTTCATTTTCTTCACAGAATCAAGGCTATTGAAAGCCCCAACAAAGATGATGACACGCAGTGGCTGACATACTGGGTGGTGTATGGTGTTTTCAGCATAGCAGAATTCTTCTCTGATATCTTCCTGTCATGGTTCCCATTCTACTACATGCTAAAGGTAGGTTAATTCATCCCCGCCCCCCCCCCAAAAAAAAAAAAGGCAATACTTTTGATGTAACTGGTATAATGTTTTCAGAACAAATAGATGACAACAGGTTTCCCTGGAATAATCACTGGGTCGCACCTTATTTTTAGATGACATTACATGTAATTTGTTATTCTAGTGCTGTAGAAGTGATCTTCCTGAGGCTGATGCTTTTGTATAGCAAGAGGGGAAGCTGGGGTGGATGGCAAGGAAAGAGCTGTGGTGTTTTAGGAGCTAAAAGCCTGTATATCTATACATATGTACCATGTGTATTCACATTAACAGTTCTGAATTCATACAGTGCATTTTGAGGTCTTCTTTTCTAATGACTTGGTGGAGAAAATGTGTCAAGGATTTCCAAATGCCAGCACAGCAGCCTTTCTGAAGAGCTTGCAGTTGTAATTCAGGCTGACCTAGCAAGTAAACACCAAGCCCAGATGGCTCTGATAATCCGGTTGCAGAAATACCACATTTGTGTGCAGTGGTGGTATGAAGGGTAACGTATTATCCTCAGTTCAGCAGAAAGCCACCCGAGTGAAGGAAGCACTGGGAGTAAGCGCGCAGCTCTGCAGGGTAACCACAGAGGGACACGGTGCAGAAGGCTGCTGTCAGTGGCGGGGAGGAGGAGACTTTGCTCCTTTGGTGCTTTGGCTGAGAAGCAGGGAGCAGTGCTGCGTGGGTGGAGGGATGGGAGGGCTTCCTCATGGGGAAAGGGGAGAGCCCACAGCTTGGCGCTCCCAACCAGCTGAGACCAAAACCCCTCGTAGTGTAGTTTGTGGTGACTCGAGGCTTCCTTTCTCATCTTTTGAAATGGGAGCACAGATAGGTCATGCACGCAGATTTCAAAGTCTCCAATTTTTCAAATATGCTAAATATCCATACTGGTATTTATTTTGTACAGCTTGTAGATTGTACTCTGGACTGAGGCTTGGCTGCTTGCTGTTTCTGTTTACTTTGATATGCAGGACTCAGCCTCTAATCTTAGGTGTTCCCGTATTATTGCAATTCAGAGCTTATTCTCTGCAACCATATAGTTAGCATTCTCATTGGTTAGCTAGGCATTCTGATTGGTAAGCACTTTGCTATGAACAAAAATATTTTAAAAGCCTTTCTCTCTCCTCTGGAAAAACATCATATTTTAAGCCATTCTGATAGGCAGTCACAACCAAATACTTGAAAGAAATAAGCTTAAAGCTTACTTAAAAGAATGTTAAATTGGTTTAGCAGAATCTTTCATAGAATGCAGTTGTTTACCCCACGAAAGAGCTCTACTTTTTGAAGGGATGTCCTATCAAGATATCTTTCCAGCTCCAAATATATCTAGGGGAAAGAAAAATAGCATTTTTTCCTGATGTAGTAGGTTAAAGATACTTATGTGAAGAGATGGGCATAACAGAGAGAATTTTATTTTGATGTGGCTTGCAGTGAAAACTAGGCCAAAACTTCATGTGTCTGAACTGCAGAATGTGTATGGTTTTCAGTGTCCATATCACTTCTCTGATTTTCTGGGGAAGAAGAGAGGGAAGATAATACAAAATATGTGGAAGGCTTATCTGAAGAAAAGTGTTCAGTTTCCTAATGCTAAAGAATTTTTATTCATTGTGTTAAACTTTCATCAAAACCTTGCTTTTAGGATAACCTCCACTGTCTCGTGCAGCTCGTAATGATGAAATTGTTGTTCAGGAGTTTTGTATGCGGCACCAGAGTAGTATTTAAGTGCAGTTTGCCAGTGGAAAATCAAAAGTATAGGGGGGAAGGAAGGAGACAGAAATGTTTAGCTATGCACAGTGGATTTCTAAAAGAATATTATAATCAAATCTGTTTCTAGGAAATGCTTTTATGTTATGCAGTAGACTGGAAACTTCATAAATAAGTAAAAAGTCTTGCTTATGTTTTAAAAATGACTTTCTCTCAGAAGCTCGGGTGCACTGAAGCAGCCTTTGCTTTTTCTTCAGCCCCTGGAGAAACGGCCACGTATACTGAAAAACTTTTGGAATCTAACCTATTGGAAGACATGCCATTTGCCAATGACATTAAAAAGAGGCATTATCACTTTCACTTAATTGCATAATTTTAAGTTGCTTGCAGTTTTACAGTAGTTTATATGATTAGTTTGATACTTCCTGGTTTTGGTGTTTACCCTGTGTGTTTGGGTGTGAGGTTTTTCAGGAGGAAAAGTTCAGATTTTACATTTTTTTCTTCCTTCTCTCTCTCTCTCTCTCTCTCTCTCTCTCTGTCCCCCCTCGCAAAAAGATGTGGAAATCCTCAATGTCTAAATCGTACTTAAAGCAAAGCATATTTTGTCCGAGGTTGTGGTGTGTTTGATTTGTGTTTTAAGAAAATCTCACCTGGTCTCCCCTGCAGAGCTGGTCTGCCTTTATTCGCTGGAGAGGGTTGTGACTTCTGGTGATGGTCTAATCCTTGTGTCTTGAAGGAACTGTAATGTTGTTGGGAAAATCTGCCCGTGGCATCTGAACATTGGTGTATATCCTTGCAGAGCTGTTCTTTGGCCAAAATCACGTGCGCCCTTGTCCCCGCAGTGCGGCTTCCTGCTGTGGTGCATGGCGCCCAGCCCCTCCAACGGCGCCGAGCTGCTCTACCACCGCGTTATCCGCCCCTTCTTCCTGAAGCACGAAGCGCAGCTGGACAGCGTGGTGAAAGACCTGAAGGACAAGGCTGCAGAAACTGCAGACACCATCACAAAAGAAGGTGAGACAAAGAACATTCACAGTTCATGTACAAGGGTGGTCAGGGGACTGGTGCACGTGCCCTGTGAGGAGAGGCTGAGGGAGCTGGGCCTGTTCAGCTGGGAGAAGAGAAGGCTGAGAGGGGATCTAATCAGTGTCTATAAGTACCTCAAGGGAGGGAGTGAGGAGGATGGTGCTGGCCTCTTTTCAGTGGTGGCCACCAATAGGACTAGAGGTAATGGCTACAAAATGAAGGACCAAAAGTTCCACAGGAACTTAAGGAAAAGTTTCATAATGGTGAGGGTGGCAGAGCACTGGAACAGGCTGCCCAGAGAGGTTGTGGAGTCTCCTTCTCTGGAGATCTTCAAAACCCGCCTGGATGCCGCCCTGTGCCACGTGCTCTAGGTGACCCTGTGTGTGCAGGGGGGTTGGACTAGATGATCTCTAGAGGTCCCTTCCAACCATAAGCATTCTGTGATTCTATGATATCAATCAGAAGGTATTCTCCTCTGCAACCCTAATATTAAAGTTCTTATTTTTCATCTCTGGAAGAAAATTATGCAAGAAGTGAATTTTAAAATGCAATGTAAACTTTAATGAAGAAATTAAGATTTGGAGGAAAGTACCAAGCAAGGAGGATTGCGGTCAATTTTGTGGTTACGCTTGATGAAAGCAAGCTATTAACCGAATAATGGGCAACTAGCTCTTCCCAACATAGATATCCAGATAAATACTCTATATAGATAAACTGGTCAGCATATCCTCGCAAAACAGCTTCTGTAAAAAACCCCGCATTCTTGCATCTCCTAAAATGCCATCTCAAAATACTATGTACTATGGAAGAACTGCCCAAGACCTTGTAATGCAAAACCTTGTATTCGCAACAAACAGCAGCCTGTAAAATTGTTTGCTGTCTGTGTAAGTATTTGTACTTTTCCCTGCTCTGGAAATAAAAGAATTTCTGAGCTAACTTTTAAATAAATAAATTTAAAAAATATATTTTTTCAGGGTGGATTCCTAACTGTGTCACAACCTGAAGCTTGCTTAGTTTCTACTTTTATTTCTTTGCATTCTGAACTGGATACTTAGCCTCTGTAATATGTTATCATAATTTTATGAGCAAGGAGGGGGTTTGTATTAAGTAGTTGAAGTAAAGATTTAAATTCAAGGTGTGTTTTTTGTTGTTTGTTTTTTTTGTTTGGGTTTTTTGTTTTTGTTCTTTTTTTTAGAAGAAACTTCAGAGCACCCTAAATCTCCTTTCCCCAGGCACCACATGCAGTGTGATTTCCTCTTACCTAACCTTTTACCTTACCTCCTGCTGGTTTTCTTATCAGCATTGCAGTGGTCTGCCTTTCTCTGGTATTCTTGGAATTTTTGCTGTATAACCCTCACTGAGTCATTCTTGTTAAAGAGATGTCCTAAAGACTATTCTTTCATCTCACACATTCATTCCATCACTTACTGCTCTTTCCTATTTTTAGATAGTAATTTGCATATATATATATATTCTTAAGAAATTCTATCCATACGCAGACACGTTAGTATTATTCGAGCGTTGTTTCAGCAGCGTGATAACTTCTTCCTGTGAATTGTAAAGAGGTCCTAAGGACTGTGAGTTAGACCTGTTTTCTCCTTAAAACAGTAGTAAGACAGTCTGTGCTGTTTATTGTGCTGCTCCTCATGTATGGTGTAGGTTCAGTACACTATTTTTTGGAAAGCCTTGTATTTGATATTATCAGTATCCTCTCTCTGTATGCATACATATATATTGTGCACAGGAAATATTCATATATATGTGTGCATGCAGGTACAAAAACTTTAAAGCTATTGTGTTTCTTTTGTAACTTGAGAGGATGATAACATTTTTCTGCAGCTCAAGAACAGTGTATAGGCCACTTGCTTTGTAGACCATTAAAATGAAATGTTTTTCTTTTCTCTGCTGCAGCCAAGAAAGCAACGGTGAATTTGCTCGGTGAGGAGAAGAAGAGCACTTAAGCTGCTAACTGGATAAAGAATGTTTCCCTACCACCTCCTTTATAAAGTTTGATGTTACTGGGGATAGTGGTATAACTTTAATAATATTGCCTTGGAAACATTTTGATATTAAAGGAATGTGTTGTCAGTTTGCTTACTACTTTGCTGATGTCTGTATAGAAAGTAAGCATTTTTATTTAAAAGCAATGCAGTGGGTGTAAGCATCTGAAATTATTGAAAATATTTTATTCATCTTCATGCAGAAGAAATCTTTCAGTAATCACTTCTGCAGTAACATAAATGAAAAGTATGTGTCCCACATGCTCTGCACTTTAGTTGTCTCTTTGTGCATGTAATTACTCTTAACTGTGGTGTGTCTGCTAATGTAAAATTTTGTATGAGGAGAATATAACCTGAAAGGATTCTCTTGAATATGCAGGGAATTACTGAGAGGTGGCATAATGGATGTATTCCCCATTAATGAAATTAATGAAATGATGAAACTGTTCTAGGCGCCTGATAGGAATTATTCACTGTTGCATGTTTCATTGTAACTTGCAGTGTTTGGTACAGTGTGTGTATTCTTAAATGGGTAGATACTAAATATAGAAAAGAGTAACTTAATTCATGTGATCCAGTTTACATAAATGTGAAATAATTTGCCAGAAACTGATACATTAAATTGAGAGCACAAGATGGGTAAAGTATAACCCTCGGCCTTTTCTTGCTAGAAGTTATCATCTAAAATGGAAAACAGAGTGCCTTGTAAGATGACATTAGAAAACACAAACTTTTCACTGAGGAGTGATGCTGTTGCAAGCACTGTCTTCTGAAGGCCCATTGAAACAGTTACTGCCCTGGATGTCAGTCCCCCAACGGACATCAGTGCTTCACAGCACGACCCCTGTGAGCTCGTCCTGCTCCTGCATGTTCTGAAGCCTCTTCTGGCTCTCTGCTGACAGCAGCTCTGCGTCAGCACTGCCCCTTCCTCACAAAAGGGAGGCTCTTGTTGGTTGCTTAATCTGCTCCTGGCCAGCAAGTGCAGATGCGAGATAACTTGTTAATCTGTCATCTTGCAATTCATGGAATAGAACTGAATTCAGAATATGGAAAGTTTAAGCTTAAATTTTTGATATAATAAAAAGTGATTTCTTTACCCACTAACCTCAGTTGATTAGGTTAGGATAGTCACTTTTGGCCTTCCACAACAAGTTGATATTTAGACATTCACTCTTTACAGGCTGCCCAGAGAGGCTGTAGAGTCTCCTTCTCTGGAGATCTTCAAAACCTGCCTGGACACAGTCCTGTGCCACGTGCTCTAGGTGACCCTGCGTGTGCAGGGGGTTGGACTAGATGATCTCTAGAGGTCCCTTCCAACCCTAAGCATTCTGTGATTCTATAATTCTGTGATTTGGGCACTAGAACTGTAAAAGAAAGAAGCATGCACTATTACTTGGCAGATCAGTTTTAAATTTGAAAAACACCTATTATAAGGAGATATAGTAGTGTTGTAAGTGTAAGCTCTGTACACCCAGCTGCAAAACACAGCCGTGACTTTATCAGACAGCACCTACAGCTGGTCAAAGAGCAACTACAGCAGGGACATGGGAGATCCACTGTGCATCATTTTCAGTCCTACAGCATATTTGGTTTGTTATTTGAAAGAAGAATCCTGCAGTATGTACATTTGAATGATTATTCAGTTATACCTTTTTGTTACAAATGGATGTACAGCAAAGAGAAAAGTTTACAGCAAAGGTGTAGGTGTGAGCAAGTAGAAATTCTGAGTGACTCACAATTGTTGTCCTGGCTTCCTCTGTCTTTGGCCCACTGAACTTTACAAAAGCCTAATGTTGTATTACAAACAGTGAAATGCATAGCAATTGTATGTGGTCAGTGTAATTTTGTTTCACCTCATAAAATAAATAATCTTAAATAATGGTACTTGTACTTAGTGCTCTGTTTGGTTTAGGTACAAAGTGTTACAAAAACTGCATTTCTAAAAGCTGTCGGTAGGTGTGAGACTTTCCAAAACTATGCAGATCTGTAGCAGAAACAAAACTTAATTCCCAACAAACCATCATTTCTTTAAAATTTTACTATTATCAGTGAGAAAAAGCACTTTTAGGTAAGTAAGTGTTAGAGAAACATTCAGTTACATTTCTCAGAGAACTTGATGGTTTGGCTTTAGGTCAACTTCTGTATTTAAACCCAGTATTTCTTAACCTGACAGCTAAATTTGTGCTCCTTATCAGATTTCTTCTTGAGGGTACAACTATCACTTGTTTGAAAGTTGTTGTTAATATAAACTTGATTTTGTTTGCATTGTTGCAAACACAAATGACCATCTACAACATTCATGGGCTTTCACAGCTATTTAATTCTGAGAGCTAAACAAACATATCATGTCCTCAAAAAAGGGTGATTCTTTTCTGAAAGACTGAGAAACTCCTGAGAAGACTTTAGTTAAAAGTAAAGATGCAGTACTAATTGTGCTGTCTTAAGAAAAACAGTATTTTCTGGAGCAAGATAGCATTTCCTGCAAGTAACTCCACTGGGCTGGCCCCTTGTATCAGTGCTCTTCTCAAAGTTGTCTTCACAACATTTGTAGGACGATGTTAATAGACACTTCTACTCAATGTCTGTGCTGATTTGCTAAATAAAAATGGATACAAATAAAGAGACTGACACGACTGTTAAATTGCTTCAGTATTTCTTGAGAATCCTGTAACTCAACACATGGAGAAATGTAATGAGTTTAAAAGGCAGAGTGTCTTTACTGATACTCACTTTTCTACCTGAACTTCTTTCCTGCGGCACTCGTAGGAACTTCCAAAAGAGGTTGTTGCAAAGACGTGCTCTTTGTGGCGAGCCCTCGTGTGCGGTGTAGCGTCTGCAGCGCATCCCGGCTCGGCAGAGCAGCTGGGAGGCCGGAGCTGAGCAGCGAGCGCTGTTCCAGCCGGCCAGCACGGCGCTCCGGACCTACCGGCATCACCGCGGGCCGCATCTCAGGAATGCAGGCTCCCCTAGAAAGGTCTGCAGGAAACAATATAAGCTACACATACTCCAGACTGTTTTTTTTCTCTCTCCTATCAATTTTTCTCATCTTCCATTAAGTATATAAATAGGAATGGCTACATAGAGTTCTTTCTGCCTGAAGTAGAACATTTCTTCCAGTTTAATCCATACATTTCCAAATTTGGCAAGCAGAACAAGAGTTCTTAGGCAGAGAAAAGCAGTAGAGACCCCCATGATGATACAAATACTTTTTTTGTAAGCAGTGGACTAATCCTTGCCAGGTTAAAGCCTCACAACTTTTAATTTCACAAATGTGAAGTTCCTTGAGCTTGCATTTTGGTCTTGTCAAATTTTTACAATCAATTACACAAATAATTCTGCAAATTTGTACAAATATTCTGAAAAAAAACTATAAAAATAATGGAACTGGTGATTCATTAATCTTCATTCTATTTCCAACTCAGCCAATCATAATCTTATGCACATCAGGAAGAACGGGGTTTTTAAAAGTAAATGACAAATTTTAGGCCATGCTGCTACACAGAATTTTGTTGAATAGCATACTTGGGCTCAACAAGCATCTGACTACAGAGAAAGGAAAACAATTAAGTTAGTTACCACTACTGCTAGGAATACAGTAAGTACATTAGCAAAGTCCTATATCACATCTTAGTGGGATAATCATGCTAATATTTTTGATTATTCAGAGACAAGTAAGTACTTCCTGTGCAGTGTATGTTCTGCAAGCAGAGTAGACCTCAGCCTTTTATTTCCAGAGAAATTCTACATCCTGTGTGATGAAGCAGTACATACTTGGGGAGTAACATGAAAACCGCTAAGGGAATCCTCAGTTGTACAACTACAGAGATTAAGTCTTACAAATAATTCAATGTGTCTTCATGATGTGTAAAATAAATAGTTAAGAAATACCTGCGCAAGAAACTCAGGTGACTATGTATGCGAGCTCATGAAATAGTGAAGTTAGTTAAAAAAAAAAAAAAATGAAGAGGCACTTCCTTGAATTCAGCAGCCGCTAGGAAAGATGTGTTTACTGTAGGCAATGGTGTTCCACAAAACATGCACCTTACAGACCTACCACTTTGTTTTACTGCAATTGCATGCTTGCAGGAGAATACTGACAGCCCAAAGACTTTCATCAAACACTTCAAGTGCTGCTATCTGGTCAAAAGAACAAAACAAAACCACTCGGGTGAAGAAGGCAGAAGCTCGTGCTGTTTCCTGAGAGGCAAAATGGAGACAGCCCCGCTCGGAGCCGCAGGGTGAATTCCCACGCAGCAGCGCGGTCTTTGCTAGTGCTGCCGCCTTCAGGAGCCCGTGGTTCTGCTCGGCGCTGCTGGGACAACTCTGCGCTGCAGTAAATTCCTAGAGAAGACCAAACTCCCGAAAGAGATGTCTGTTAACAGATATTTTTTGAAAAATGTGGTTTTCTATTGGTGGCATTAAATTCAAGAATTCCAGTGTTCTTGCAGCACTCTTCTCCCTGCCTCCATTTCTGCTGGTTCCCAAATAGACTATGTGAAATGCGGAACTGTCCTATAGGCTCATTTTTAACACTGAATTTAAAATGCCAGAAGATACTTTCCTGGCAGCACTAGCAATGATCTGAACACCAATATATTCACAACTGCAGTGCCACAGATACTAGGTACTGAACAAACCGAGTCATCTTTCTCAAAAAAGAGAGAAAGAGCCTAAAAAATGCGTTCAAGTTCTTAGAAATCCTTTAGGACTTATTTTTTTTATAAACATATATGTATATATATATACACACACAAATTACTACCAATAAAAAGAGAAAACAAAATTGCACCAATATACTTTAAATCAGCTGTACCTAGGGGAAGTCCATTCTATTGGATGATACTGTATTTGAAAGGCAAGTCTTTATGGGTTTCTTTTTAAGGTCCTTATGTTTTAACATCACTAGTTTAATTTCTTTGATTGGGTAACTCAGCAAGCAATGCAACTATGGTTCTTGCTTTATCTGTACAGCATAGGCCAGACAATTTTTTTGGATGTTCAGCTTATGGCCACTGCAAACAGATATCAAATGATTTGACTTCGGTATTTTTTAATGCCAATGGCCTATAGCTGTGACTTGCAACATTTATACAGAACTGTTATAGCTTTGTAACAGAGTCCATCCACCTCAATTTAAAACTATGGAGCAGAGTTATTCTTGCCTATGAAATAATTTCCACACAGCTGTCATTTTTCTGAAAATGAAGTTTCAGAGAAACTATCAGGATGGGTAAGGAATACCTGAAGCTCCCAAATCTGTGATGAATTATTGTCATTTATAGACTGACTATACTCTCCAGTCTTACTTGAACACTTGCCATGTGATCCCACATTGCAACTAGCTGCTAACACTTTCCTAATTGTGTAGAGTATAAGCAGCTAAGTAGCAGCCTCTGGCCAAGTCTACTTACTTGCTGATCTGATCTCCCTGCTCTCCCTACCACCGGGATTCCATTCACTCATGGAAGAATGGCTTGATCAGCTCCTCAGGCTTAGGTGCTTTTTCAAGGGTAGATTCTCCACAGACAGCACATGTAAACTGTTAAGTGCGCAGAAACAAATGAAGTTGTTAATCCTTACCCTGCTGGATCACAAGATGTCTAGAACAGCCTAGCTAGCTTAAAATGTTAAAATGTATCTCCAGTATGTAGGAGACAGATATCTTTAATAAGGCTGTGGGGGGGAAATTAACACTTTAGACAAAAGTATTTTACGATTAGATTTTTCAAAATTAACTTGTTGCCTTTATTGATACACTTGACAGTTGTGAAAGATAATTGGCAAGGAAAGCTTACAGAATCATTTTTCTGCTTGCAACAGAGACCATCCAGAATTAAGATAATCACTTAACTGCACAGAGAAATGATGTACGAAGGCAAGTAGTTCTCTGGTATCTAGTCTGCATAAGTTTTTTTTTTTTTTAAGCTGAATAATACTGCATATTTCTTCTGGAAAGAGTAATTCTCCCACCCACCCCATTTGCTTATGTTCTTCCACTTCCAGAACTGGATGTTAGCTTTGCAGTTTGGCTGTGAAGACAGACAGATTCAGTGTGACACAGCAGAGAGGCAGTTACATGCATCCCAGTTCTGGAAAAAGCAGGCAGTTCTATTCAGCTTCACCTCTTCTTGCCCCTGCCCTCCCCCCCATATCTTTCACTTCCAAGTTGCAGTCAGTGTCCATCCATATCCATACTAAGTAATGATTATTCCAGTTGCAGCCTCATTTCTTTTTCTTCCCTTTGCCTTTCTTGCCTCCCTCTCCCTGCTGAAGACTTTGTTCACCAGCTCCCATTTTTTGTGTTCTTGTTTTCAGTTTGGGAATAGTTTCTGCAGCATACAGCATCACCGATTTACCTGAAAATAAAGAGTGTGCAATGAATACATCATAGGTAAAGAACCTTTGCATCATTTTGAAGGTTACAGTCTTCAGACCCAGATTAAATTTTTGTTAAGGTGGATACAAAATACTCTTTTACTTCCCACTTGCATCTGGAAAATTGTGCAAAGCCTTCGTTGGATTTTCTTAAGCACTGGACTGAAAGTATCACAGCTCTCTAGAAGCCTGTCATTATTTAAACCACATTAAGATCTGTCTTGCAGAGCAATCAAGACTGAGGTATTTCCTCCTGGATTACCTGTATCAGAGTAACAGGTGACCAAAGCATCTACACCCTTTCAAGAACTCTCCCCGCTACTTTTCAAAGTAGTTGGCACAAAATAACCAGGCAAATGATACAAGCATCTTTTGGGAGAAGAGACACTAGCCTTCCTAAAGAAACACAGCTTTAAATATTCACCTTACCAACAGAATTCTTAAACTCATTCTAAATTCAGCAATTTACTTGCACCACCTTTCATATATATATTTCTTCAGATATTTGCTTCCCCTTTACATTCTGAGTACTTGTCAGAGAAAAAAAAATATCAAGAGCTGTCACATTTGCTTGTTTACTAATAAATAGGAATAGGTCCTCTTGTATAATAAGTTATGAATTTTCAGGGTCCCTCCCACTTTAATTTGTGGAAATAAGCATACACTCAGTAGCGTAATTTATCAGTGTGTCACCTGTTATGTAACCTAAAAAAAAAGTGGAATTTAGCCATTTTAATACCAACACCCATTCTGAAAAATTACATCCTCCCCTGTCCCCAAAATGAACGGTCAGTTTGCTCGCTACAGCCAGGATACAACTTTCCCCAAAACTTTTTTTTCCAAGCACTAAATAAAAAGGATTAAAAACAACCGCACTTTAAAAATTCCACTTTTTTACTGTATTTGATTTAAAGAGGTGAATTTCTTTGATGTTGATTTCCAAAACTTTTCATTGAAGCTCATTGAGCAAGGATGATAATAAAGACAAAACAAAACAAAACAAAAAAAATCCTGTTTTACTAACAGTTAAAGCATCTAATACAGATGCTCTACTCACGTGTTGGAAACTGAGGTAAGCATGGGTTGCCATCATCTTGTTTGAGCTGAATTCGTACTCTACCCCTGTACTGCACATCACGATTCCACTCTCTTGGATACATCTTATTTTTCTGTCATATGAAAGGAGAAACTATTATTATTATTTTCAAAAGTTAATCATTAGAAGTAGCTACTTTTTAAGATTTAATTTGTATAGTTCTAGGTTGCAGAATTAGTTTTCACTGTTTCTTTCTCCGTTACCAACTTTGGAGAATCTAGTGTAGTCTTCTGAGAATGTGTATGTAAATACATATAGATATCGTACAGTTATTTTTTCTAGGCTAAGGCATCATTATCTATGAGGTATGTGATTTTTACCTTGCATATAGTTTTCCAACATCTACTTAAGTACCTTGTTATTGCTCAAAGAAAACAAGTATTCTGGCTGATGATCAGAGCTTTTCAATTACAAGTTAACCTTAGTTGTAAGAAAAGACAATGAAAGAAAGAAAATGAGATCAAATTTTTTTGTTATTATTACCTCTACGAGTACATTGAATCCAACCGCTGCACACACATCCTGGATTTCTGTAGACGTTGGATTTTCAACAGCCTGTAGAAACACATTAGAGTTACTCATTTTAAAATATTTTGTTACCTATGTGGTAATAGTTTGATTCAAGGTTTCTACCAATACTCTACAACTAGAAAAAGTGGATGAGGAAAGACAAGGCACAGACCATGACAAATCTGCTGTAGAGTCATTTGTGAGCCCTTCTATGGTCTAGAATACATCAAAAAGAAAAAAAAAAAAAAAAAAAAAGGAAGAGATGTCACATCAGAAGGAAAACAGGGAAGAGATTAAACAAAAATATTTAGCACAGGGGAGAAAGTAACAGAATTGCCTAAGGAAAAGAAAAAACGAAATGAAACAACATTTATTACACTACTACCAAATTAAAAAAAAAGAAAGGAATAATGCCTGAGAACAGGAGTTTTGCAAGAACAGGACATCAGGTCTCTCCCATAAATACAACTTTTAGCAGATCCCTCACATAAATACAACTTCATTGGAACTTATCTTAACATAGCCATATTTTGTGCTTTGTCACTTTGTTACTGTCAAGAACTTAAAACGCATGTGTTACATACATTTAGTAGTTTTTTTTAATGCGTCCAGAAATAGATACAATAATCTCACTTTTTTACAGGATTTTAACAAAGAATTTTTATGCTATAAAAGGCTTATTTCACTGCTTATGATTTTTTTTTACTACTATCAGTAAAGAAATCAGTTTATTGATAAATCAGATCACCAATCATACAAGCTTTAGCTTACTATTGCTGTCTATATCACTCACATAAGTTCTGTAGTAGATTATCAAGTGTATTATCTTTCCGTACTTCATCTCCTGCCAAAGGTTGCTCACATAAAAGTACAAAGTTAAAGCCAGTGCTCTTCTGACAAGTTCACATGATGACACTAAACTATCTTCAAGTGTTTTAAAATTTCCAGGTACCAGACTGTTTGCTGAGAGGCAAAATGGAAGATCAACAGCTTTGTCTGAGACTTAGCTTTATTTTCCAATTCCCTATGTACACTGCAAAGAAAGACATTGTATTTCCCTGTCACCCACAAATTACTTTGTCTATAGGTATCCTTCTTCCTTCTGCTATTGTCTTCTTGTTATTTAGATATGCGGGATAAATGCAGATGAATCTAGAAGAGAAAACATTGCAAGATTAAGTATGCAGTACAAACTCCTTGTTTGATCAATGGTAAAAACACAACAAAACAGCCCATTTCAATAACATGGGAGCTCCTGCAGTTTAGAACAGCCGGTTATTTTTCCCTTGACTAATTTGAAACATTGCAAAATCCCATTTCCATCGGAGAGACTTTGCAAGATACCAGTTTCAGAAGCAAGATGCAGACAAAGGAAGGAGCTACCTCCTAGGCTTTTTTTTGGGGAGGGGGGGGCAGGGAAAACGAGGTTGAAAGAGCATGTTTGACCTACAGCATCCCAAAAAAATAAAATCTAATACATGCATTGCACTCAGAAGCTCAGAATTACAGAAGTCTTGCTGAAAAGTTCTAATACCCTCACTGCTGATTAATTTCAATTTCTTGATAAAGTCATTTTATCACGGATTTTCTCCGTTTCCCTTGCTCCCTATTCTCCCCATAAAAAAACTATCCAAACTCAGACAAGTTACAAAGCTTCTGAAAAACTATGCTTAAGAGACTTGCTAAAACCAAGATTTTGTCAAGAGACTCAACCATTTTTATGCACATGTAAGGCCAAAAGTGACAGAACTTCACTTTTACTTCTCATCAGGCAAACATGCTAGCACATCAGAAACTAAGGAAGCAGAAATTGAGCAAATTATCTGGAGTAGACTGGTATTCAGGGAGCTGGAGACTGATAAGAGTCACTGATGAGGGTTAAAAGGTGGCATCTCAGGGAGTCTGCTTCACTGAAAGTCTACCTCACTGGAAAAGTGTACCTTGAGTAAACATCTCTTGCTGAAATTAGCCTCGGTCATCTCAACTCTCAATAGTCTCCTGTTCCCAAACACCTTCCCAACAATATTTTCTCCTCTAATTACAACTCTTTTTATAAGGTAGCTATTGATTTTACGTAAGTGGCAGACATCTGCACAAATAAAACAATCTCATTACTGAAATCCACAGCCACCAACACACTGCAATGATGTCTCCTCAGTTTACTTTTTTTCTGTTTTTTTTTTTTTTCTCTCTCTGAGAGAGAGAGAGGAGAGATTTAAATGAGACGGTTGTGCAACACTGCAGCGCCAGGAAAGGCTACATTCTCACTTCCTGTATCACAGGATAAATGGGCAGTAATAGTCTCCCCAGGCCCTTCGTCCAGGCTGAGCCTTCTCCACACGCCGTCACGGCGGGGCTGTGTGCCTCGAGCAGCTGCGCACCACGGGGCTGCACATCTCTACGCGGCCCGGGAAAACCGAGCTCTGCTCAGACACTGCAGAAAGCGCTTGGCATGACCAAGCATTTCAGCTACATTAAATTCAATATGAAGCCACTAACAACAAAACACAGCTCTCCAAAACGCCGGCACCTCGTACGCGGTGTCGAGAACCTTGGTTCCTTTTTATATACGGAAACAGGGCAGAGGCAGTGAAAACCTCTCTCAAACGAAGAGCTTAAAAGTAAACGCAACCCTCCACCCAAACACAAACACGACAGCGCAAACGAGCCCACGGCGCGTCACCCTCGCGCCCG